GAATCAAGCTAGAAGAATCAGACAGTTAAATCCCAGGATCTGACCATGATTCTCAACTCCAAAAAGTGCTTCAGGTTAAATATTTCAGACAGAGAACCGAAGCGAGTTTCATATTTACTGATATATGTATAATTGTGGTACAAATTCCTAGATAGGCTTGTTTTGGAGCTGGAGGAGAAGAAACACCGTGAAGCGAAGTTAAGAGAGAGAGAGAGAGAGTGAAAGATGTGAGTAGAAGACGCATGGAGCTTCAGAGTTCACTCTCTTCAATATGCCCAAAACAGGTAAGCTCATCTCATGTTAGTCTATCAGATAACTCCTTTCTTTTCTGAGATATACTAAGAAGTAAAGACTAGTTTTTCATCGTCATCACTTTTGCTAAAATCTATTCTTTTTAACAGTAAAGAATATGTGTATGAAGAAGAGATAGAGAAAATGGTCAGTTGGAGATGTGTGTGAAGGTAGGCGAGGAGGGGAAACGTGTGCGTGTTGAGTAGAAAGATTTACTAAAAGGGTCCACCTCGGTCTTGTCTGCTACACTGCTTGCTGCTTCCTTGTTATGTTTCTGTATCAATCCAGTGAGTGCTTCCACTATTTCTGAAACCTCTGGTCTAAACTCCTCTGCCTGCTTGTTGGAAGAATGATTTAGTTATTGTATTTGCAATGATCCTGCCTGAGTGAAGAAGCTATTGACAATTACCTGAATGCATAGTGAGATAATAAATGCGTAGTGTGAGGCCACTCTTGAGGAGAATGTGCCGACTATGCCTTGATCGATCATCTGTTCTAAGCTTCGCTTGTCATGAAGTCTGCTTGATGCCCATTTCACCAGTAGCTGTTCTCCTTGGGGTCGTGAGCTGCAAATAATATCCCACCAAAAAAAACGGGTCAGTTGCTTTTGGCTCATCTATTGCACCCGGCAAAGTATGTGAAAAGCTTGTGTACCTGTCAAATGCTTTCCTTCCTGTTAAGAGTTCCAAGAGTAGCACACCCAGTGCGTAAGTGTCGCTCTTTGTGCCACTGCTTCCTGGTTGTCCATGTTCTGGAGCAATGTATCCAGTGTTTTGTATAGCTATCTCTGAAGCCTGCTTCAAATCTCAACTCATTAGGATTATGTATCAGTCAAAGAACAAAGCGATCACTTACCCGAAGCTTGACACTGTTGCTTGTAAGTGGCCTTAAACTAGCAAGTCCACAGTCAGCAATCCGAGGTGTAAGTTCTTCATCTAGTAAGATGTTTGTTGCTTTCAGGTCGCTATGTGCAATAGGAGGGCTAAACGACGAGTGCAAATAGCTGAAAATTTTAATACACCAGATAGTGAGTGATGTGTCAAAAGAAGTCTGCAAGGATTGGGAGTAAGCTACTATTTATGTTTGAGAAGAAAAGGTTACTTACTCCAGAGCTCGGGCAACTCCGATAGCAATGTGGAGACGGAAGCCCCAAGAAAGTGGCTTGTATACCTCATCATGCATAGCATTGTACAGCGACAAATCCCCAGCATACTCATAGACAAGAAGATGCTTCCCTTTTTCAATGCAGAAACCGAGAAGTGTCACAATGTTTGGGTGTCTTAGCTTGGAGGCTGTTTGAAGAACTTCAGTAAAATTTTCCTCTTCATGTAAAGACAGCGAAGACATTGGGATGTTTCTCACAGCGGCCAACTGTTTTAGAGAAAAACACTAGTGAGTGACAATGGAAGTTCCCATTTTGGAATTTGTGAAGAGAGAGAGAAGAGAAGGTATACTTGACCATCAGGCAACTTTGCTCTGTAAACAGAACCAAGATGACCCTCTTCGAGTAGGTTTTCCTCACTGAAACTGTTAGTTGCCAGTTCAAGCTCTGCAGCTGAGAAAATCTTAGCATATGCTGGATATTGGCATGTAGCAGAGAAGCTGCTTCGTCTTGCTGTTTTATCAGTTCTGTCAGGTGGAGGAGGTAAATGTCTCAGCTGAGGAACTCGGTCTGTACTGACTGGAAGAGAGTAAGCTGTGCTATTGCTGCTTCTTTGACTAGCAGCAAGATTCTGTGAACGTCGATGATGACTCATTCGAACTGCAAAAACTGCAAAGAAAGTTCCAAGCAAAGCCAATCCGCCAACCAGTAAAACGGTAGCCCCTGCTCCTAAGCCCTTCTTCTTCTTTCTGACCTTCTGAGGTCTGGGAAAGTCCATGATGGCACTCGATTGAGTTGTTGGATAGCCACGAGCATTCTGAATCATGGGTATGACATCCAGAGGGAACTTCCACGGTTTATAGTTGGGCTCTACGTGAAACTTGTTTCCCCATATCCTGCTCAGGAAAACACCGTTGATTATCCTGAGCCATAGGTGTTTTGAGCTAAATTTTGAGAAGAAAGGGGAGTAGTAACTCACCACAGATGAGGAATGGACTGAAAACTAGTAGGGAATATACCACTGAACTGGTTATCTTCGATATTCCTGAAGATATGTGCAACAACGAAGTGTTTTTGAGCTCATCAAATACAGAAAGCTCAATGAAATGCAAAAATCAAAGCAGAAAGAGAGTTAACTACAGGTCAGTTAAAGGAAGATCCGCCAGATAGATGATTGATCCTGTAAATCTGTTATGCTGGAGGTACCTGTAGATTTGTTATCACAGCAGCAAAACCATTATTAGGCTACACAGAGCAGATTGCAGATAAGATTTCGAGATAACTTACAGTGAGTTCAGATTCATTAGAGTTCCAAAAGAGCTAGGTAGATCTCCCGTCAGGTTGTTGAATGACAAATCCCTGGCAACGTCAATATAATTTGAAGATTAATGAGGTATCTTGCATCTACATAACACGATAAAAGACTCACATTTCTTTGATCTGTAACCCGGAAAACACATTTGCAAGAGGTCCAGATAATGAATTATGGCTCAAGTTCCTAGAAGACAGAGCAAGTCATTAGTTCAGAGATCATCAGAAAGGAATGCAACGTACCATGGATATCCACTTACAGAGAGACAAGAGATGTCATGAGAGGCAAAGAAAAAAGGAGACTCTGAGTCAGATTGTTATAAGCCATGTTTCTGTAATCAACAAACAAGGAGAAATCTCATGAATAGCAGCACTCTGCTGGTGTAAGCTTAAACGATGTATGAACAAACGCTTACATGTGTGTAGCATTTGGAGGCAAGCCAAAAGGAATGTCACCTTGGAGGTTATTGAAGCTTACATCCCTACACACAAAGCAACAAAAAAAAAAAATTCAATGATTCAAAGCCTTCAACAATCAAGAATAGGTAAACTTTGGTTTACATGTTCTTTAAATGACGGAGATGATGAAGCTGGTTTCCAAGACTTCCCCAAAGACTCAACCCTCTTAGCTGCCTGCGATAACTTGAATCAGATTTTTGTTCAAACTATGATGAAACAGAGGACAGTGTTAACAAAGAGAAGTTACAGAGCAACTATAGAAGATCCAGAACAGTAAACTCCCATCCAGGCTTCTACGCATGGATCTCCTCCTCCTCCTCCTCCCATTCTCCATCCTCTCAGCTGCTGTGGATTGTTCAGAGACTTGTAGAGATCTTCAAGAGCCGAAACTAATGAAGAAACACGAATGAAGTGACATCAAACGCGCGATTAAACCAAGAATTAGATGAGAATCTTGATAAGTACCTTCGAGTGGATCAGTATAGCTCTCAGCTAGCGTGACCAGCATCACCGTGAAGATAATTGCAGCGAGGTATCGTGATTGTTGTTTCGTTGTCATCTCTAGGAAGGTAAAGAGACGATAGAGCACTGATTTTCTCGCACTTTCTCTCGCTTTCTGGGAAACGAAACAGAAAGAAACTCCGGAGGAGGAGAGAAAGATCAAAAACAGAGTGAAGCGCGAAAAAAGAAAAAAAAAAACTGAACGCTTAAACGCGCGAATATTCCACGTCAGCAAAAAGCGGTTACGGACGTTGGAGTCAACAAGAGTCTTACTTACTGTGTACGGGCCCTCGCTTTTGCCACGTGGCCGTGTTGTTTCAACTATATGCTAGATAATTTTTATAAAGTAAATTTTAATCCTTCAATGTTTTATTTCTTAAATTAGAGGTTATCACTTCAATTAAATGTTCATATGATCGATCAGCTAAATACATGCGAAAATATATATATATTCCCTTCGTTTCAGTTTATATGTCGTTGTAACGAATTTTTTTCATTTTAAGATAAGCGTTATTTTATAGTTTCGATGCAGAATTTATTAACTTTATATATATTTTGTATTGGTTGAAATATGGTTAAGTGTATAGGTAATTGTGTATTTATTTTAAAAATATATAAAATTAAATATTTTATTAACCCGTGTGCGAAAACCAAAAATGACAACTAAAAATAAACGGAAAGAGTATATAGATTAATATTGATTTTGATGATTCTCCTTGGACCTTGACGATAATTGCTTAAATCTCAGATTCTTGCTGAATTTCATAAAATCTACTTGTGGTCAACTACTTTTTCTTCTGAAACTATGGTCAACTACTTTCATGCAAAGATTTTATGCGCCAGGATTGAAGTGTTTACGCTCCACCTATCTTGAAGAAAACCCCATTAAAAATAGTCCCACTTAATAATACTAGAGTAATGGAGTTTGGAGAAGAATTAAGAAAAAGGACGAAAACAATTAAAATGAATATTCAAAATTTCAAAGTAGAATATATTGAAGGGAAAGGAAAAAACGTGGGGTTGCTCATGCACAATGGTAAAAAGTAGCGTTGCTAATTTAAGAAGCTATCTCTTTATGTGAGTTTTTTTTTTAAAAAACAAATAGTTAACTAATAATAATAATCTCACGCATCTACTAGTCTGTGACTAAGACGTACCCCATCACACACCACTTGCACACATAAAAAGTATCTGATTCTGTTTCCAAGTGTTAGTGTGTGTAGCACTTTGGACATTCTCTTGTCGCGACTCTTAATAACTTTATACCACTTTGAATAGAGTAGAAAAAACATGCTTTAGTTAGGCCTTTTCTATTTAGCCAATATTCTCTCGTTGTTCAACTTATCTTTGATTGGAAATGAGTGTCTTCGTAACTTGGTAGCATCATGACTTCGGCGTCTTGTAACGAGAATGGTGGAGGAGAGTGATCGGAAGCAGAGAGAGGCAATGATACTTCGAAGTTTGGTGACTTGAGAAGACTCTCCTTTGTTTTTTGCTGTTGTTCTATCATTAGTTTCAATTGTTTCCCTTGTTCTTCGATCCTCACTTGTAGGTTTCGTTGAATCTATAAAAATAAATTAAAGACACGTTGGTAAAAAGTTGTATTAGGCAGATAAGTATGAATAAATATAGCTCACTAGCGAAATAATATATATATGATATTTAAAGTGATTAAAGCCACAAATGTTCAAACATACCACTATACAAATAGGAAAGCCTTTATTATTTATATATTTTTAAAACACTTGGATGTAGTTTAACATATATATGTTTATAAAACGATAATTTTATCTTTAAATGCAATTTTGAGGAGATGATGAAAATTGACAAGAGAAACCCTATTTAACCCCACAAATACAACTAGGGGAACTGGAACAAGCATATGTTAAAATTATAAGTAATTGTGCTCATTTTGTAACATATACCTCTATTTGTTCATGAAGATGCCTCTGAACATCAAGTTGAAGCTGGAGTGCCTCTTTAATTTGCACTCCACTGCCTCCACGATAACAAACAAAACAAAATGTAAATTAAAATCGTTAACAGCTCATTATTTATTGTTTCTGAATAACGTTAGTCGTATCTCGTTGTAACTGCTCCCGTCAGCCATGATATCATGAGTTACGTCATTAACTTTGGACTTATATGGAGTAAAAAATAGATCGACGGCTATTTTGTAATAAAGAATTATTATTACCACAAACCTAAGGGAAATAAAAACATACGTTTTCGTGTCCAGCTGAGACAGCTCTTTGGAACAAGATCTCTTCTCAAACTTGCCTACAACAACATAAACTCATCGATTTGCATTATTTCCAATTTATTAATGTTTATATAGTTACTGTATTACTCAGTTTACCTTCTCGAGGATCAGGGATGTATTTCGCAATCCTATATTTCTGAAATATAACCCAAGAACTATTGAATAAAATGTTGCTTAAAACAAAAATGAAAAGGAAGTAACGTTAACCTGTAAGTGGCTTTTAACATGAAATATTGTGAGTCCATCAGAATCCATCAGCTTCAGTATCGCTTTGGGTGTTGCCTCTGCATAGTTTTCCACCAGTTACACTTTTTAGTGACCCACCAAAGAAACAATGGCCATTTTATCCGCAAAATAAATATCAATTTATTTGTTCAAAATATATAGTGCGGATATTTGCTTCAAAGGATAAAGTTTTTCAATCCACTCATAATGTCATATGAGAGCGCATAATATGAATCTGATACAATCATTATGGTTAATATTATACGTGACCGTCCATGATTCATATGCACATCAAAACATAACAGTATGCTAAAGTAAAGTTACTAGCTAGATCAAGTGATAGGGAACTAATGTTTAATTCCTCTAACTATAAAGTTTAAGTATCGCTAATGTTTATAACTTACTATCAGCACCACCAAGGAGGTTTACACATTCTAAGAACTTCTCATGAAGATCTTGATTCCATCTTATCCGTGTCTTGTTCCCAACAACCGTTCCACAGTTACGAACCATGGACCCTCCACAGGTTGAGAAGGAAGATGGAGAAGAATATCTTGAATGAGTTTGCTTAGATTGATGATGTGATAATGAGAAATTTAGTTCTCTTACATTAGAATTACTATAATTCTTCCTGCATAGTTCCTACAAGCCATCAAGTAGAATCATCATTGTTAGAATTTTATTTTATTTTTTAATTATAAAAAAAAAGATAAAATTATTTTGTTTGGCATACTTGTGGATCATCTTCACTTGCTCCAAAACAAAGCGAGTATGAGGCAGATGAAGCATTTGTTGCGGCAAAATCGTTGACGCATGATCTTTTAGATAATGGCTTCAAATACTGATCTTGAATAGGTTGCATAGGAACCATCGATTGTCGTTGGTCTAGTGATGGAGGATCCGAAGATTGATAGTGGTAGGGATGAAAGGAGAGAGGATAGGGTTTCGAAGATGAACATTGTACGGAGAAGGAGTGATTGGCTATGCCATCATATGGAGTAAAACTTGAAAACATCTCGGTAGGCCATGGAGATGTTTGACTACAATGGATCTTATCCACGTCTTGTAAGTTAAACGGCGGTTGCGGCTGCAAGTGTAGTCGGCTTCCTTGTGAAGCGTTTGAGGATTCAAAGTTGTTATCCATTAATGACCAAAGAGAGACCCGGGTTGCCACTTTTGCATCAGAAACAATGATCTTGCTGCACGTTCAAATGATATGCAGGATACAATGGGAAAAACAAATTCGATTAAAAACACAAAAAAGATTAGAGGAATAACGATCGAAATGAAATCTAAAGTGTTTTGTATTTTGGTTTCTTGGAATCTCTTTGCATTCTTCCAAAGTCTTCAGGGACAAGAGGGATTAGTATTGATATAGTCGATGCCTTTTCTTTTAATTATTCTAAAAATGGATAGGAGTGCGCATTTTTTAATTATCCAATGGCCATAATTGCAAAAGTCCAAAATTCTTATTACAGAAAAAAATATATATTATAAGAAGTCATTTTAATTAAACTTCCACTTGTTTAGACCTTGTCTTTATTCTTCTTCAATTGTAGAAACATTTAAAAAGAGTTTGTTCACAAAAATAGTAAGATCGCACGGAAAAATATTTTAATATTATTAATTAATTCTGAAACCCTAACTGATCCTGTTAAAGCATGCATAAAGATACTCAGTTAATGTTATATACATAAAAGATAAATATATTCAAAAATTGGATGTCTGTATTTATATGTATTTATTTATTTTGGTAGAAACATCAGAAAAGACTTTGCAAAACAAAAGGAGTAAGTTCAGAGACTTTGAACCTTAACTGGCTCAGTTAAACCATGCATACATTATACATATACATTCTCTATGTTTCAGAGATTTAATTTGAACTAGATAACTGATCCATGAGAGATTATATTACTATTGATTCACAAGATATTTTAGAAATCTTCTGCGTATACATCTTGATCTCTTACATTGACATGCATGATGTCTTTCAGTCTTTAACGCTGATTATTTTTGTACTATTACGGAGGGACGGTTCAGAAACATGTAGAACCAGAGTTTTTCAAACATTCATGTCGCATTTGAAAGAGATTCAACCAAATGAAAATAACGTAGAATTTTGTTCCAAACTCGCCAGAGACAGAGCATAATAAAGACCAAAAAGGCCGAGTCGACCATCATCGAGAAATTGGACGGTCGCCATTGTTTGCGCAGTTGTGTGTGATATGATCAAGTATAAACATAAATTATAAAACTACAATGCACATTCAAACACACAATTTAAGTTTTTGTTTTTGTTGTTCAGTTGATAAATTTTTTTATATATTATGCATAGGGAGCATAATTTTTTTTAATATTAGTATAAGCGAAATAAAATTGCATATATGTTATTGGATCTATGGTTGAGAAATCTTTTGAGAGAGGTCTAGGTTTGAAACTTGAAATTAGTATTTGACACAACCACATTGATAGCTACAGATATTGATGTAGCTATATACTATATATAACTCAGTGTCCAATAAAAATAAACCTGTGCTTGTCAAAATTAAAGGTTGATTGGGTTCGGGATACAGTTAAGACCTGTGAACATAAATTAATAACTTACTATAAATTTTCTATTGTTCTACCCAAGATATGGGAGAATATATCTACATGGGCATCTTTTCTCTCTTTATAATGTGGCTACAACGACGATTCTCGCATACATTTTATTCTTTCTTTTTTTACGAGCATGAATTTGATTGATGGTCTTAAAAGACATATCGAATTATTCTGGATAGGATGGATAAAAATGGCTTGCCATCTTGAAAATGTTTTGGTTGGCCCAATTCAACTTTCTGGTCTTCTTTTCAGTTTATTATTGTTTATCATTGATACGACGCGCCAATTAGATTTTCTATTGTTAAAATTTCATTTAGAGATTCAAATTCCACTTCCAAAAGTTTTGTTTAGAGGCAGGCAACCCACATTCGGCACCCAAACAACAAATATATTAGTAATAAAATTGTAGGAAAGACCACAAAGATATATAGCAGTATCGAGTTCCATTCCATACTCTAGATTAATTCACATATTTTTTTGTTATTTTAAAACTAAGGTACCGATTATTTGTACCATCTTTCAACATACATTCTCACTTTCTATTCACACACAAATCTTGTTATATTATCAATTTTTTCTGAAAGATATTCAATCAATATTTGTTATTATCGTTTTCCTATGAACGCATTAATCTGATGAAGGCGTTATCTGTGGCATCTATGAATTTATCTGTACAAGAAAACATTCAAAGCTATACTTACGTTAATAAAGATTTGGCATGAACAAAATCTTATACATACGTTATCAAATTTTACGAGTGGCGACATAACATCACTATAATTAATTTATATGTGCGGTGATCAATTTTCCGTTGAATTTAGGTACATGATTTTGCTACCCATCATGCCAAAAGAACAAAATATATCTAGTCAGCTAACTTTTGTTGTTGTGAATTCAAATACTATATATATATTTGATCAGAATAAAAAAAAAAAAAAAAAAAAAAAAAAAAAAATATTTGATCAGAAT